ATCTTCCTCTTGCCACAGTTCAAGTGCCTTTCCTCTTGATGTCTCCAAGCCTTATCTCTCTTGTTGTTCTCTCTCTGTTTCTCTCTTTGTTAGTTTCGGTTACGTAATTGTTGGTCTCTGTCCCTCTATGATCATCTTTTTATATAGACAAGTGAAGAGAGACAACAGAAAGACACCAACGCCATGAAGAGACACGAATTGCTTTTGTCTCTCGAGACACAACGTCTCATTCATGCCGGTTAACTAACACCGGTTTGGTACGCTGCCATATCATGGGCGTAAACCAACCATAAGCTAACAAAAACCATAGTATGAACTGTTACCAGTGTGTCAGGCCTCACAGACTCATCAACAGATAACTGCTGTGACATCCCAGTTTTTCTAAAAGGGGCATGTTTTAAAATTGGGATTTCGAGGCCCATTAATCCCATATGTGTGTGAGATACACATTTTGCTCGTGAGTCATCTCCTCCATTCGGGAAAAACCTAGCCGTCAGCGAGAAAGAAGAAAAAAGAGAGAAAGAGAAAAGCTCGTGGAAGAAAGGAGAAAAGGAGAGAGAAAGTTGAGGAGAGAGAGAAGGAGAAACCAGAAGAGAGAGAAGGGAAGAAAAGATTGTGAGATAAAGAATGTGGAGAAGAAGAGAAGAGAGAGAGAGGAAACTCTCGTGTGAGAGAAGAAGAAAGGTCTCGTGAGAGACAAGAGGAGAAGAAGAAGCCATGGAAGAAAGAGAGGAGAGAGAAAGGAGGAGAGGAAGAAGAAGACCCAGAGAGAGAGTGACGTATCCGTGAAGAGTCCGAGACCACCAATGACGACGCCGTACTCCACCATCGGTCGGATATCACCGGAGGTCACATTCATTAGCTCCGATCTACCGCCGTAAGCTCACGCCCGTGAGGATTGAGAGTGCACCTCAGTGTTTCTTGCGCAGCAAGCAATCCATCTCCACCAATCTCTGTTCATCTTCCGATCAGCGTTTAGGCAAAGGTGAGGATGAATCTTCCCCGATCCTTAATATGCGTTATTCTATATTATTTAACGCTAAGACTTTGTTTAAACTAAGCATTACCTTGTTTGTTGTGTGTGAACCCTAGTATTATTTTATGAACCCAAATTGTGTTATATAATTATTTAAATATTAATTATATTTTATTGGTTGAGTTTAAAGTGATTATTTTTGAGAAATTGTGTGATATTATTTATAGTATATAAATAATTTATTCTTGATATTAATAAATATGATATATTTATTTATTATTGTGTATTAATATTTATATGAGATTATATAAATATTGTGGAATTGATTGTGAAATGATCTCTTAATTGTTGAGTGTTGAAAAACATATATCGAATATGGATTAATTAATGATCAGACATGGTATTGAAAATGGTTGTGTGTTAAAAGGATCATTGTTGAGTGTGGTGTGTGATGGTTATTATATATGTATATATAAAAGTATTTATATATAAAGTTATATATGTTGGACGCTTAGTGAGAAGCGTGTTAGTTAGTGACGGTTTAAAGGTACCGTGCAACACAAGTAAGGTGGAGGGATTGTGGAAGGCGTGAGGCGCACCGTAGTGGATCCTCTTGCTTGGTGTTGGTTTTGCTGGATGTGGGGTAGATAAGGTTTCTCTTACCCCAATCCATCGTCGGTGGCTTGACGAGCCAGGCATCTTGAAAGAGAGGCGGACAGCGATGTGGCGCTTTGTACCACGGGGATGTGTGCAGTGATGCGCGGATACATCCAGGGTGTTGAGTTACTGGAGCAAGATACTACGGGGTGTTGTGCCGGTATTTGGTAGCTTCACACGTGGTTGAGCTTGGCTGGACAAGAAACATCACCGTTACAGACCATATTACGTGTTGGGTGTATAGTCCCTCTAGGAGGTTGTTGCGTTATACAGCGTGTGTGGTGTTACATACTTTGAGAGGTGACTCATGGTTTGTGTTGTATACACGGCGGACGTGTGGTGATTCACTGGTTGTGCCGTGTTATACACCGTCCTTGTGAAGCTATATCGTATGATGTGTTATACACTGCGTGTGTTGATACACACCTTATGTGTGGTGATTCATATATGTGTTGTGACATATATTGTATGTGTGGTGATGCACCGTATGAATTATGTTCACACTGTATGTGTGGAACCGCATGGTATGAGTTGTGTAATGCAGCATGTGTGCTAGTTCGGCGTTGTATAGATGACGTCTTGTTTGATGCTGTTTTAGCCCAAGCCTGGGCGTTTGTTTTATAGCGTTTCGTATGTTGGGCCCGGTTTAGATTCATTCTCCTGGGTAATCTAAATTACTCATCCCCCTCCTTTTTCCCTTCCCCTGTTTCCTTTTCTTGCAGGTAGGTACAGAAGTGTTGATTCAAGTATAAGTTGGTGGATTTTGTTAAGAAACATCTTGGATTTGGGACCATGGTTATGGCATCGCAGGTTGATGTCTTGATACGCCGTCGTTTCTCGGGAGTCCGGGTGACTGGTGTCACAACTGCAGTTATTTCACACTCGTTCAGAAGCACAATATCATATTCCATCTCCACCTTCGTTGATTGAAATTCGTCACAGATAGTCTTCAGTCTCAGATATGCTTCAGTCTCAAGTTCTACAAGTTTCTGACTTCCACTTAACTCCACTTCTTCTTGTATCTTCTGACTAAGACCCTAAAGCCACATCATGACTTCTACTCTCTTGGTTCTGAAGTTTCTCTCTTTAGCAACTCTCCTTTGTGTCACTTGCTGTACCATCTTCAAATATATCATCATCGAGTCTTTTTGATGGTCTTCAAGTTAGCCATTACAGATGCTACGATTCTGACTTAATGACCCTGTCTCATCTCTCTCAACTGTGAGTATCATAGATGTTCCAACAGCTACACAATTCAGCATCATCACAAATAGACCAACAATATCTCCCCCGTGATGATTAAATTGTAGCTCATATGGTTTTAAGAACCAGAAGATACATCTTTCACCTTAATTGTCTTCAAACTCTTTCTGAACCTTAGCTTGTTGATATACCTCTATTTTACCTACTTTTTATGCTATTTTACTATGGTTTTCTAATGGTTTTCTAGTGGATTCTTGTGTTAAAAGGTAGTTTTTATGGATTTATAGTGCAAAGAGTCATTTTAGGTAAAAAGGTGCATTATGGAGCAAAACAGGAGATTTGGACTCTAAACCAGTTCAATGCCCCTGCATCAACTTTGGATGGAGCTAGAAAAAGATCTACTCAATGGATTTCATCAAGACCAGTTCCCTGCGTGCTCTGATTGAGTTAACTTTCCAACGCAACTGGAATGGCTTCATTTGGATGAGTAGAAAAGGAGTTATAGCCAAAAGAGTGAAGGCTGCTCCAGACGGCCATATCGAGAATCAGCGCCGAACGCGCAGACCGGCTGGCCGAGGAACGAATGTTCCGCGCTCGGCCAAAACCGTATGTCCGACTGATGTCTCGGCCAAAGTCCAAACCACTCGGCCGATCACACAGCACGACCCGGGAAACATTGTCCCGCGGTCGGCCAAGCCAACGCTTCACGCCACTCCGCGCACGACCAACGCGCGCGAGCCGGGAACAAGCCTCGCGGCCGCGCAACTCACTTCGCGTACCACGGCCGATGCATCCGTCCGAGCCGGGAAGAACGTCCCACGTCCGGCCGAGAAACCATCGGCCAAATCCTTCATCCGCCCGACCAAGCCGGCCGACCGTGAAATCATCCGGCCCGACCGTTCCGACTCGGCCAAAGACCCGACTGTCCGGCCGACCGTCCCGACGACCGTCCGAACGCCGCGGTCGACCCGAAGCCGTTTTTGAAGCCCAATCCGCACAATTCAAGCCCAAAGCCGGCGCCGACCTAGCTAGATTAGGTTTAGCCGCTTTACATACTTAGAGCATTATAAATACTTCTTTTTAGCCTTGTAACTCAAGAAGGAGAGAGACCACAATCTATTTTACATCTTAATAAAGTTTTGCTTGCTTTTACTTTGTTCTTGCTTGTTACTCTTTCTAGAGAGGATTCGAATCTCTGTTCTTATGAATATGAATTCGTTTCCTTCTCTATGTCTGAGTAGTTTACTTGTTAAGTGATAGGAAGTCAAAGGATAGCATTCATGTATGCTTGATGATTGATCACAATTAGGGTTTTACTTATAATCTCCATCTTTGCTTATACTTAATGCTTGTTGTTAATCTGGCCAATTAGCATATGCCTTTAGGTTGATTTGAGCCTCGACAGTGCTGTATCATTCGCCTGAACTAGTATTTGGTGGGCAATCTCTTTTAGACTGCGAAAGTTGATCTACTTGTAGGTTGTGAACAATTGATCTTGATCGAACTAATGCTTGATTTAATCACCTAGGGACATACCAAAAGTTTAGCGACTAGGTAGATTAACAAAGGGGTCGGAGCCTCGACAGTGGAATGATCATACCATAGTGTTTCAAGTTCTAGATTAGCACCTAAGTGCGGTAACCCTAATTGATTGATTTCATGCTTCTTGAATTGCTTATCTCAAGACTATCCTATTGCTTAGCCTTTCTCTCCTATTGAATTCTCACTTTTATTACTTGCATGCTTTACTTTCTCTGCACTCAACCAACTTATACTTTTGCCCTAGCTTGATCTCAAACTCATAACTTGTAGTGTGCAATCTGGTCCTTGTGTTCGATACCCGTTTACTACTTCTGACCTGTGCACTTGCAGAATCAGGGATAGGAAAGGGGAAGACCTGATCCCGCGATCAAGTTTTTGGCGCCGTTGCCGGGGACCAATTCGCACCTACAAGTCTTGCAAGAGAGCTAGTCTAGGGTTTCATCTTTTCCTTTTTGTTTTTGTTATTTTTCCTTTTTTCTTTGATTTGTTTTTCCTTTTTGTTTTTTTAGCTTTTCAGGTTTTCCTAGTTAGATATGGAGAAGGAGCCACAAGCCTCTTCCCCTATAAAGGCGATGCCAATTCGCCACATACCACCTCAAAGCACCTCTTGAGCGAACAAGAGATGTCAAGCCCTCAAGCACCACCACCTTCATGGGATAGTCCTCCAAGACCATCCACTTTGAAGACAAAGAAGAAACTTCTTCCTTACCTTGAAGCAGCCGACCTGGAGACGTCTAGCCAAGCCGCATCACACCAAGAAGAACACCTTCTAGCCACACCAGAAGAGGAGATTAACCCTGAGCTGATCGAGTTCGTGAAGAGAGATCAATTCCATGATCTGTTTTCAGAGTATGCGCTGGAGCACATAGATCACTTTGACAATCTTTGTGATTCCTATGGAGTTTTTGACTTTGAGAAGAAGATGATGCTATTCAGCACATCACTAGCTGGACCAGCACTAGATTGGGCGCAGCATGAGCCACTCTCTACAATCGAGTCATGGATCGATTTTAGAGAAGCTTTCTTGGAGATTTGCAAGGAACCACCTTTCAAATCCAAGTACCACCACTACTCTCATCAGCTGGAGAGAGAGCGTGATGAAGAAGAATGGGGAGGCATACCACCCCATCCTGAAGTTTGAATGAAGAGCTAATCAAGCATGTGGAGAGGAATCCTTTCTACAATTCTATTCAGAATGTGCAAAGGAGCATCTATGCAACTTTGAGCAGCTTTGCATGACTATGGACTTGGAGACAACCCCAAGAAGATACAACTTTTCCAACTATCTCTAGCTGGACAAGCCAAAGACTGGGCTAAGTTCAATGCCCAACATGCTTTCAAGACTTGGAATGGATACAAAGGAGCTTTCCTTCACAGATTTGCCAAAGGTCCTATTTATGTCCCACCACCACGCCCAAGCTATTCACAATACCATCCATCATCACCAGACATAAACAAGACACCACTTTTCCCAAGGGAGAGCTACAAGCTGCGCGCCAAACCAAGATTGAAGATATGCTTCAAGAGTACTTGAGAAATCAAGAAGAGAGTACAAAGAAGATGGAGAGAAGAATCGATTTCATCCATGAGAGCCTTGGAAACAAATCTGAAGTCCTATTCAAGCAAGTGATCAAGCTTGATGAAGACATTAAGAAGTTAAGAGAGGATCATGATCGATCTTTGACCCTAGTTAAGCTTGATGTTGCTTCCAAATATCAAGAGTTGCTGAACAAGAGCATGAGAATTGAAGATACTAGCTATGGCAATAGCAAACATCTTGGATCGATCTACAACCGCCTACAAGCCCTTGAAGGATCATCTCATGCCAATTACAAGAGAGAGAGGAGTCCAACACCCAACCACCCTCCCTTTTATTGCAATGCCATCACAAGAAGAAGCACTACTCAAGTCCATGAGGACAATGAAGAAGAAGAAAGAGAGTATGAGGAACAATTGAATGATGAAGATGAAGAGCAGAGCATCGACATCAATGCTTCCCCAAAACAGAGCATGGATACACCAAGCCCTAGAGACCCTCGTTTCTCACCAAGAAGTCAAGCTTCTACACTTCCAAGACTGGAAGCAATGCAAAGACCATCACCACCTACTGAAGAAGAAGATACTTGGCAGTATGATCCCATTGATCCCAACAAGATAAGCCCCATGAAGCTTAAAGAGTTCAATGCTAAGGTGAAATCACTTCCATTCTATGTCACTTTTGAAGAAGCTTGGGATAAACATGGTCTAGTGGAGTTCTTTTTCACAACTAGTGAAAACAAAGAAGAGATACACCAACTTTCAGGAAGGCTCGATTTCCCATTGCCCCTCATGGAGTCAATCAACCACCATCACCACCATCATCACCACCACCCAAGTGGTATGTCAATTCCATATCAAGAGAGAAGCTTGCTGAGTTCAATCAGTTTGTCCAAACTCTTCCAGCCAGCATGTCTTTCAAAAGCTTGGCGCCACTACCCATTCACCACCTTTCTTCCACAACTGCAAGGAGACACCTGAGGACATAAAGAGCTTTTTGAGAAAGCTAAAGTTCAGCCAACCTTCAAGACCCTCTACAAGATTGAAGACCCAGGTCAATTCTCTATTCCCTGTCAAGTAAATGGTCATTACTTTGATAGAACACTATGCGATTCTGGCTCTTGCATAAACCTCATGCCAACCCAAACCGCCAAACTCCTTGGCATCACACGCTTGCAACCTGCTCAAATTAGTATTGGACTTGCTAACCATACTATAGCCAAGCCAAGAGGAGTTGTTGTTGATGTTCTTCTAGAGATTGGAGATATCAAGATCCCGGTGGACTTTCATGTCATAAACATTCAAGGAGGATGTGACACACCATTGATACTAGGCCGACCCTTTTTGGCCACTGCTGGAGCTGTCATGGACCTTCCAAACCGGCGAATGTCCTTAGCCAATGTTGACAAGACAGTCTTTTACAAGACCATACCATTCATCTCACCAAACAAGCTGTCTTACCTCATCACTGCCCAAGGCCGCCCAAGAGAGCCACCAGACCACACTCAAGGTCACAATGAGACAAGAACTAAAAGACTATGTCTCAGGCCGTGCCCTTACCCCATCTCCAACTAAGAGATCCTATCAGTCAAGCTAATGACTCAAAAGAAGCGCTGCATGGGAGGCAACCCATGAAAGGTGTTTTTCTTTACTTTTCTTTTCAATTAGTTTTAGTTAATGTCTAGTTTTGTTTTGAGTTTGGAAACAGGAATCTAAGAACCACACAATGGTAAAGAAGATATACCACAAGAAGAATGTTCATAGTTGGCGCGACTTAGATGGCCGAGCAGAACCTCTCCACGCTCGCCCATGTCCTCTCAAGCCGCCCAACACACCATCCCATCTCATTCCATCTGCATCTCACCCATCCCACCTCACCACACTTGCATTCCATCACTACCATCATTCCACTGCATTCACCATTCTTCAAGTAACACAAATCAGGTTACATCTTTCTTTTTACATTCACAACCACTTTATTACCTCTTTCTTTAACTCCCTTAATTGGATTTTCTTTCACCGGGACGGTGCAAGTTAAGTCTGGGGGGATTGTCGGTACTAATGTGTTTGTTCATGGTTGTTTTGATCTTATAATTGGTTTTTCCTAACCCACTTTTTCAAAACTTCTGTTTTATTGAGTCAAAACCAGTCCGGGAACAATGAACTTGCTTTGAGATTTGATAGTGTCATGCTAACAATCTATGACCCTAGAGCAAACATCAGCTGAAGGCACAAGCCTAACAGAAGCTCCTAGAGTGGATCGCATGCTAGCTCAGCGAAATTTCTAAGGTAACCAAGCAATCTAGAGTTAACCTCACCCTTAATCAATCTTAATAACTCTTGTCAAGGGGATTGGCATACATGTCGACAGTTCCTTGCTTGATTTTCAATGAGATTTGTCTAAAGAGTTCACCTCTCTCTCCCATCCCAAATGGTAAGTAATGTTTATGAGAAAAGCTCAAAGAGCACAAGGAAAACAAGTAAGCATGAGGAATGCATATGTCTGTACCTTCATGTCTTATGGAATACCTAAATCAAACAAGGAACAAGCTAAAGACTTATCCTGTGGTTGAAAGAAAGGTCAATAGAAAAAATAAAATGATACCCTAGAAAAGTAGGGAGAAATTGACCTTTCAAAGTTCTGATGTGAGAAAGAGAGAGGAAAGGAACTCATTGCACTTCAAAGACAATCTTGGAGAAGATCAAGTGGGTAAGAACAAGTTCAATTGATCGATTTTCCCTTGATAAAGAACTCACGCTTTAAATTTCTGCAAGAGGTTAACAATAGAGAGTTTGGATTGCTGGATGAGACTAGTTGGGTTGGTATTGTTGCTAAACTTGCAGGGTGTATGTGAAGCTAACCTTATGTTGACTATGTTCTTAGTGGAATACAGGAAAGGAACCTTTCACAGGATTTTCAAAGAAGCAAGAGAGTTCCCACGTTTTTCAAAACCTCTTCACTAGTTTAGATTCTTTTTGCTTGGGGACAAGCAAAGATCTAAGTCTGGGGGAGTTGATATACCTCTATTTTACCTACTTTTTATGCTATTTTACTATGGTTTTCTAATGGTTTTCTAGTGGATTCTTGTGTTAAAAGGTAGTTTTTATGGATTTATAGTGCAAAGAGTCATTTTAGGTAAAAAGGTGCATTATGGAGCAAAACAGGAGATTTGGACTCTAAACCAGTTCAATGCCCCTGCATCAACTTTGGATGGAGCTAGAAAAAGATCTACTCAATGGATTTCATCAAGACCAGTTCCCTGCGTGCTCTGATTGAGTTAACTTTCCAACGCAACTGGAATGGCTTCATTTGGATGAGTAGAAAAGGAGTTATAGCCAAAAGAGTGAAGGCTGCTCCAGACGGCCATATCGAGAATCAGCGTCCGAACGCGCAGACCGGCTGGCCGAGGAACGAATGTTCCGCGCTCGGCCAAAACCGTATCCGTCCGACTGAAGTCTCGGCCAAAGTCCAAACCACTCGGCCGATCACACAGCACGACCCGGGAAACATTGTCCCGCGGTCGGCCAAGCCAACGCTCACGCCACGCCGCGCACGACCAAGCGCGCGAGCCGGGAACAAGCCTCGCGGCCGCGCAACCACTTCGCGTACCACGGCCGATGCATCCGTCCGAGCCGGGAAGAACGTCCCACGTCCGGCCGAGAAACCATCGGCCAAATTCATCCGCCGACCAAGCCGGCCGACCGTGAAATCATCCGGCCCGACCGTTCCGACTCGGCCAAGACCCGACTGTCCGGCCGACCGTCCCGACGACCGTCCGAACGCCGCGGTCGACCCGAAGCCGTTTTTGAAGCCCAATCCGCACAATTCAAGCCCAAAGCCGGCGCCGACCTAGCTAGATTAGGTTTAGCCGCCTTTACATACTTAGAGCATTATAAATACTTCTTTTTAGCCTTGTAACTCAAGAAGGAGAGAGACCACAATCTATTTTACATCTTAATAAAGTTTTGCTTGCTTTTACTTTGTTCTTGCTTGTTACTCTTTCTAGAGAGGATTCGAATCTCTGTTCTTATGAATATGAATTCGTGTTCCTTCTCTATGTCTGAGTAGTTTACTTGTTAAGTGATAGGAAGTCAAAGGATAGCATTCATGTATGCTTGATGATTGATCACAATTAGGGTTTTACTTATAATCTCCATCTTTGCTTATACTTAATGCTTGTTGTTAATCTGGCCAATTAGCATATGCCTTTAGGTTGATTTGAGCCTCGACAGTGCTGTATCATTCGCCTGAACTAGTATTTGGTGGGCAATCTCTTTTAGACTGCGACAGTTGATCTACTTGTAGGTTGTGAACAATTGATCTTGATCGAACTAATGCTTGATTTAATCACCTAGGGACATACCAAAAGTTTAGCGACTAGGTAGATTAACAAAGGGGTCGGAGCCTCGACAGTGGAATGATCATACCATAGTGTTTCAAGTTCTAGATTAGCACCTAAGTGCGGTAACCCTAATTGATTGATTTCATGCTTCTTGAATTGCTTATCTCAAGACTATCCTATTGCTTAGCCTTTCTCTCCTATTGAATTCTCACTTTTATTACTTGCATGCTTTACTTTCTCTGCACTCAACCAACTTATACTTTTGCCCTAGCTTGTTCTCAAACTCATAACTTGTAGTGTGCAATCTGGTCCTTGTGTTCGATACCCGTTTACTACTTCTGACCTGTGCACTTGCAGAATCAGGGATAGGAAAGGGGAAGACCTGATCCCGCGATCACTTGTGCAACAACTAGCTCTAACACTTGCACCGAGAAGCTATCTTTAGAATGCATCAATCAGAAATCCAAACCAAACTATCCAGAATGCATCAAGCTTTTCTTATGCCAGAAGAAAAAACTGCCTCAAGATAGTTGACACTATACGCACCTTGCAGAAACTCAATAAACCTGTGATTGGTCAACTAGACAAATCTTTCACAAAGATTCTCACCACTTAATAATGCAGAAGCGAAAATCACAAAACACAAGTACCAGATGATAAACAAGATCTAAGCTCAGAAGCAGCTATCCCACAATCAAAGAGGTACAGCTGTCGCCAATAAACAAGATCTAAGCTTGTCGTACGCACAGAACAGTCACTTTTTGATGTGGTAGCAGTTCTAGGAGAAACTTGCAGAGACTCACACTTTCAGATATGTTGCTCCACCTGGAGTTTACTGACATGAAAGTAAACATAGCTGCTTATCTTCTTTACGCTTCTCTGCCTCACCAAACAGAATCCACTTCTGCTCTTGGGAAGCTCAAAAGCTTTGCAGATCCGAAGAGCCAAAAAAAAAACACAAACTCAACTTCTTTCGTAGTTAAAACACCATAAGCACATGCTCAACGTGAAATCCCCAAACTGGTGACAGATCCTCAACAAATTCAGATTTAAATACCAGACCCACATCAGTTTTAAGCTCGTGGATAGATCTAGAACTCTAAGATCGTGGATAGATCTAGAATTCTAAAATGCAGTCATCGAGGGGGAGCTTGTAAGTGTAACGCTGACTGATTTAAGAAGATGCTGATAGAGGATGAGCTATCAGTGATATATTCATTGAATGCTTAAGTTCCAGGATAAGTCTTTAGCTTGTTCCTTGTTTGATTTAGGTATTCCATAAGACATGAAGGTACAGACATATGCATTCCTCATGCTTACTTGTTTTCCTTGTGCTCTTTGAGCTTTTCTCATAAACATTACTTACCATTTGGGATGGGAGAGAGAGGTGAACTCTTTAGACAAATCTCATTGAAAATCAAGCAAGGAACTGTCGACATGTATGCCAATCCCCTTGACAAGAGTTATTAAGATTGATTAAGGGTGAGGTTAACTCTAGATTGCTTGGTTACCTTAGAAATTTCGCTGAGCTAGCATGCCGATCCACTCTAGGAGCTTCTGTTAGGCTTGTGCCTTCAGCTGATGTTTGCTCTAGGGTCATAGATTGTTAGCATGACACTATCAAATCTCAAAGCAAGTTCATTGTTCCCGGACTGGTTTTGACTCAATAAAACAGAAGTTTTGAAAAAGTGGGTTAGGAAAAACCAATTATAAGATCAAAACAACCATGAACAAACACATTAGTACCGACAATCCCCCCAGACTTAACTTGCACCGTCCCGGTGAAAGAAAATCCAATTAAGGGAGTTAAAGAAAGAGGTAATAAAGTGGTTGTGAATGTAAAAAGAAAGATGTAACCTGATTTGTGTTACTTGAAGAATGGTGAATGCAGTGGAATGATGGTAGTGATGGAATGCAAGTGTGGTGAGGTGGGATGGGTGAGATGCAGATGGAATGAGATGGGATGGTGTGTTGGGCGCTTGAGAGGACATGGGCGAGCGTGGAGAGGTTCTGCTCGGCCATCAAGTCGCGCCAACTATGACATTCTTCTTGTGGTATATCTTCTTTACCATTGTGTGGTTCTTAGATTCCTGTTCCAAAACTCAAAACAAAACTAGACATTAACTAAAACTAATTGAAAAGAAAAGTAAAGAAAAACACCTTTCATGGGTTGCCTCCCATGCAGCGCTTCTTTTTAGTCATTAGCTTGACTGATAGGATCTCTTAGTTGGAGATGGGGTAAGGGCACGGCCTGAGACATAGTCTTTTAGTTCTTGTCTCATTGTGACCTTGAGTGTGGTCTGGTGGCTCTCTTGGGCGGCCTTGGGCAGTGATGAGGTAAGACAGCTTGTTTGGTGAGATGAATGGTATGGTCTTGTAAAAGACTGTCTTGTCACATTGGCTAAGGACATTCGCCGGTTTGGAAGGTCCATGACAGCTCCAGCAGTGGCCAAAAAGGGTCGGCCTAGTATCAATGGTGTGTCACATCCTCCTTGAATGTTTATGACATGAAAGTCCACCGGGATCTTGATATCTCCAATCTCTAGAAGAACATCAACAACAACTCCTCTTGGCTTGGCTATAGTATGGTTAGCAAGTCCAATACTAATTTGAGCAGGTTGCAAGCGTGTGATGCCAAGGAGTTTGGCGGTTTGGGTTGGCATGAGGTTTATGCAAGAGCCAGAATCGCATAGTGTTCTATCAAAGTAATGACCATTTACTTGACAGGGAATAGAGAATTGACCTGGGTCTTCAATCTTGTAGAGGGTCTTGAAGGTTGGCTGAACTTTAGCTTTCTCAAAAAGCTCTTTATGTCCTCAGGTGTCTCTTGCAGTTGTGGAAGAAGGTGGTGAATGGGTAGTGGCGCCAAGCTTGTTTGGAAAGACATGCTGGCTGGAAGAGTTTGGACAAACTGATTGAACTCAGCAAGCTTCTCTCTTGATATGGAATTGACATACCACTGGGTGGTGGTGATGATGGTGGTGATGGTGGTTGATTGACTCCATGAGGGGCAAGGGGAAATCGAGCCTTCCTGAAAAGTTGGTGTATCTCTTCTTTGTTTTCACTAGTTGTGAAAAAGAACTCCACTAGACCATGTTTATCCCAAGCTTCTTCAAAAGTGACATAGAATGGAAGTGATTTCACCTTAGCATTGAACTCTTTAAGCTTCATGGGGCTTATCTTGTTGGGATCAATGGGATCATATGCCAAGTATCTTCTTCTTCAGTAGGTGGTGATGGTCTTTGCATTGCTTCCAGTCTTGGAAGTGTAGAAGCTTGACTTCTTGGTGGTGAGAAACGAGGGTCTCTAGGGCTAGGTGTATCCATGCTCTGTTTTGGGGAAGCATTGATGTCGATGCTCTGCTCTTCATCTTCATCATTCAATTGTTCCTCATACTCTCTTTCTTCTTCTTCATTGTCCTTCATGGACTTGAGTAGTGCTTCTTCTTGTGATGGCATTGCAATAAAAGGGAGGGTGGTTGGGTGTTGGACTCCTCTCTCTCTTGTAATTGGCATGAGATGATCCTTCAAGGGCTTGTAGGCGGTTGTAGATCGAACCAAGATGTTTGCTATTGCCATAGCTAGTATCTTCAATTCTCATGCTCTTGTTCAGCAACTCTTGATATTTGGAAGCAACATCAAGCTTAACTAGGGTCAAAGATCGATCATGATCCTCTCTTAACTTCTTAATGTCTTCATCAAGCTTGATCACTTGCTTGAATAGGACTTCAGATTTGTTTCCAAGGCTCTCATGGATGAAATCGATTCTTCTCTCCATCTTCTTTGTACTCTCTTCTTGATTTCTCAAGTACTCTTGAAGCATATCTTCAATCTTGGTTTGGCGCGCAGCTTGGTAGCTCTCCCTTGGGAAAAGTGGTGTCTTGTTTATGTCTGGTGATGATGGATGGTGTTGTGAATAGCTTGGGCGTGGTGGTGGGACATAAATAGGACCTTTGGCAAATCTGTGAGGAAAGCTCCTTTGTATCCATTCCAAGTCTTGAAAGCATGTTGGGCATTGAACTTAGCCCAGTCTTTGGCTTGTCCAGCTAGAGATAGTTGGAAAAGTTGTATCTTCTTGGGGTTGTCTCCAAGTCCATAGTCATGGCAAAGCTGCTCAAAGTTGCATAGATGCTCCTTTGCACACTCTGAAGTAGAATTGTAGAAAGGATTCCTCTCCACATGCTTGATTAGCTCTTCATTCAAACTTCAGGATGGGGTGGTATGCCTCCCCATTCTTCTTCATCACGCTCTCTCTCCAGCTGATGAGAGTAGTGGTGGTACTTGGATTTGAAAGGTGGTTTCCTTGCAAATCTCTTCAAGAAAGCTTCTCTAAAATCGATCCATGACTCGATTAGAGAGTGGCTCATGCTGCGCCCAATCTAGTGCTGGTCCAGCTAGTGATGTGCTGAATAGCATCATCTTCTTCTCAAAGTCAAAAACTCCATAGGAATCACAAAGGTTGTCAAAGTGATCTATGTGCTCCAGTGCATACTCTGAAAACAGATCATGGAATTGATCTCTCTTCACGAACTCGATCAGCTCAGGGTCAATCTCCTCTTCTGGTGTGGCTAGAAGGTGTTCTTCTTGGTGTGATGCGGCTTGGCTAGACGTCTCCAGGTCGGCTGCTTCAAGGTAAGGAAGAAGTTTCTTCTTGGTCTTCAAAGTGGATGGTCTTGGAGGACTATCCCATGAAGGTGGTGGTGCTTGAGGGCTTGAACATCTCTTGTTCGCTCAAGAGGTGCTTTGAGGTGGTATGTGGCGAATTGGCATCGCCTTTATAGGGGAAGAGGCTTGTGGCTCCTTCTCCATATCTAACTAGGAAAACCTGAAAAGCTAAAAACAAAAAGGAAAAACAAAAAAGGAAAAACAAAATCAAAGAAAAAAGGAAATAACAAAAACTAAAAAGGAAAAGTAAAAACCCTAGACTAGCTCTCTTGCAAGAACTTGTTCCCCGGCTCGCGTGGCATGGTCATGCGCGGCGTGGCGTGAAGCGCTTGAAGCTTGGCCGACCGGGGGAGAATGTTTCCCGGGTCGTGTCGCGTGATCGGCCGGTCAGTTTCGAACTTTGGCCGAGACTTCAGTCGGACGGACATGACTTTGGCCGAGCGCGAAACAATAGTTTCTCGGCCAGCCGGTTTGTGCGGTTGGCGCTGATTCTCGATATGGCCGTCTGGAGCAGTCTTCACTCTTTTGGCTATAACTCCTTTTCTACTCATCCAAATGAAGCCATTCCAGTTGCGTTGGAAAGTTAACTCAATCAGAGCACGCAGGGAACTGTCTTGATGAAATCCATTGAGTAGATCGTTTTCTAGCTCCATCCAAAGTTCATGCAGGGACATTGAACTGGTTTAGAGTCCAAATCCTATGTTTTGCACCTTTTTACCTAAAATGACTCTTTGCAATATAAATCCATAAAAACTACCTTTTAACACAAGAATCCACTAGAAAACCATTAGAAAACCATAGTAAAATAGCATAAAAAGTGGGTAAAATAGAGGTATATCACTTATCTCTATATGTTCAAGTGTGTAATGAGTATCTGCAAGCATAAAGGTAAAGAACACAGAGAGTTTTTTATCGAGGTTCGTTTTCTACATCCCCGGGACCTAGTCCAGATCAAATCCACTAGAACAAGATTACAATTACAATTGTATATGGTATCTAGCACTACAATGCCTACCATTCTTTTCTAGATGGATAAGCTATGAAGATAGATATCAAACCCGCATGATTGACTATCATCCGGCAGCACCGGAGCAACACCGCCATGTTCTAGATCTATCCACGATCTAAGAGACTCTCAACGGCTGCGATCTTCATAGGACCCCAAAGCCTTCGCTAAGGCATCTTTTCATTGTGTATGGGTTAAGCACATCCAATGCTCTGATATCACCATATTTTACATGATTTTACTATATAATTACCTATGTTTTCAAACGGTTTTTGCAAGATTCTTTGCCTTTAGAGGTAGTTTTCTTGTATTTGTGGGATTTGAAGTCTTTGTAGGTGAAATAATCAAAAAGGATGCAAAAAGGAGTAAAAGAGCCCTAAATCAAGATCCATGCAAGTTTCCAAGTCAAGAAGATCATTTTATCTCCAAGTGTTAGTTCTCGCTAGCGCGCAGAACGAAGCTTCGGAAGTTTGGCCGCGCGCGGAGGAGTTCCCGACGTCCAAAAGTTACGATCTTGATATGGAAAGATAGATACTTGAGTCATGCATCACGTCGAAGTGGAATGAAGCCATTTGGATCAACTATGAGGCCTAGACTTATTTTCTACCGAGACATGTCCGGTAAGCGAGTAAACGAAGCCCATGGAGGATTTGGAGTGTCTAATGGCCCGAGCAGCAGCGCCAAAGGCCTTGATCGAATAGAGAAGAGGCCTGGCTAATGTTTGGAGCTTTCTTGGTACAATGTCGGCCCATACACGACGTGGAGAAGAAGGCTCGGCGCATGAGAAACTTTCCTTTTTCAGCATGAAGAAAACCCTACTACTTCGCCCATATATACATGTTTTTAGCCGCTGAGCGCGAGAGTCTAGAGGTGTGAAGGTGTGCGCCGTCAGAGAAGAAGAGGAATACCCCCAGAAGAAGAAAGGAAGCCTCCTCGGATCCAAGCCGCACACGAACGCTCAAAATCGTTACATCTTTGTTCTTGTCATTTTATTTTCGGATTTTGGAGTTAAAAGGAAGGATTCAACTTTTCATCAATAGAGAAGCTTTCTTCTATCCCTTTTCTCTTTAATATTCGCATGATGCTTTCATTCAAATCTTGTTTGTTTGTTTGCACCATGGCCGAGTAAATCCCTTACTAGGCCGTGGTGGATCAATGAGTGCATAAACCTATAAATGAGAGTCTTGTGAATTGGGAATAACCTTTGAGTTCTTCACCTTTACTTGAGCATAATGCCGTTTGCTTTTCTGATCATCTAGCATCGGATCTTAGGGTTAATATACTCTCCAAAAGCTTGTTATATTGCCGGAACTAGTATTTGGTGAGCGATAGTTCACGGCCAACGAAAGTTGAGTTGTGGAGTATTGTGAACAATTAAATCTTGAACATCTTTAATGCATGTTTACAACTTAATAACCAACGAAAGCTGAGTCTATTAGGTTGTTTAAACATAGTAGTTGGAGCCACGAAAGTGGAAAAACTATATCTTAGTGATTTAAGTTCAAGAACGGTCTATAATGAATCTCTTTCACTTGACTTCTTTGTTTAAGTTTGTTGCATCTCGGCGATCCACCATTGTCTAGTGTTTCCCCTTATTGATCTCATCCATTTCCATCTATTCATTATTGCCAAAACATTCTCAAACCATATTTTGCTTTAGCTTGCTTCAACTCTTACTCTTGTAGCACAATCGATAGGTCCTTGTGGATTCGATCCCATACTATACTTACCTCGTTGCTGTGCACTTGCAGGTACTTAAGTTGGGTAAAACTTGAAGACAAACCCAGCTTGCATCAAGTTTTTGGCGCCGTTGCCGGGGACCTTCTTGTCTACAAGATCGGACGAGAATCTAGACTAAAGCGCATTTTACTCTTTTATTATTTTGTTCTTTTTGTAGGCACAACTTGAGCGTGCCATGGCTGGAGAAATACGTGACCAGCAACCAAATCCTTGGAGGAACCATCTTGATGAGCCGCCTTTGGACGAGGTCCAAGACCGCATACCACGAGAAGGCCTTGGACCGGAGCTTAACCGAGCCGATAGGCTACACCGAGGAGACTTAGGCGATCACCAAGGAGGGGAGAACCAAGAGACCGTTGGAGACAGTGACTCTAGACCAGAGCTTCTCCAAAGCCGTAGCCCTATCCGGACTTACGAGGGCCACCAGTTTGAGATCAAGCCGCGAGTCATTGCTTTGGTAAAACAAAGTCAATACCACGGGCTTATCGAAGAAGATCCGTTGGATCATGTCGATTCTTTTGAAGAATTGTGCAGCACAACTAGTGCAAATGGAGTTCCGGGCGACTACTTGAGATGCCGGCTCTTTACTTTTACCTTGGCGGGAAAAGCACTCAAGTGGCTCAAGTCTCTCCCGTCTCGCTCAATCACTACATGGATGGAGTTCAAGAAAGCTTTTCTTGGTCAGTTTTATACAAAGCAGCGGACTAGCTTGATGAGGAGCAAGATCGTTGGCTTTCAGCAAGGGCCAATAGAGCCGTATCATGAGGGATTGGAGCGCTTCAAGGAATACATAAGAGATTGCCCACAACATGGCTTCTCGGAAGTAAACTTGTGGAACACGTTTTATGAGGGAATAAGGCGCGAGCACAAGCTGTATCTTGATATAGCTAGCAACGGGAACTTCATGAGTAAGTCCATAGAGGAAGCCAAAACATTGATTGACAACTTAGCGGTCAGTGACAGCAAGAATCAACCGAGCTATGAAGAAACGATCAAGGCAATCAACGCGAGACCGGGACTAGTTGAGTTTGAGGAGCTGAAGTCCATGATCGCTAAGCTTTTGGAGAGAGAACCGGAGCATCGCTTGAGCCCCCGTGAGAGCAAGATACAACGACCATCGATGAGAGGGAAGTGCTTTACATAAGCAAGCAAGAGATACAACATCCGGCTGAAACCCGACTTGGCGCTAAGGACCATGGAGGAGAGCTTAAGGCTTTGATCTATGAGTTCATTGGTGAACAGAGAAAGGCGAACAAGGAGATCAATGAGAAGATACACTATGTGTATCACGACTTGAACAATAAATTTGGGTCGCTAGAGTCGCACATCAAGGAGCTTGATCTTCAAATAGCAAACATAGCCGGTACAATCAAGAAACCGCTTGGAGTCCTCCCTGGTCGAACTGAGGCTAACCCCAAGAAGGAACATATAGCGGCCATCACTCTTAGGAGCGGTACGCAGTTAGACGAAGTGGAGATGCCACCGGAGCTCATAAGGAAAGAACCTCAACCGGAGGTAATATGGAAAGCGTGGAAGAAGCGGCTGGCGAGCAAACAAAGACAAATCTTGAGGAGAGCGCCGCGCCAACAACACCTACTCTGCGCGTGTATAAGCCAAAAGTGCCCTACCCCGGATCAGTGAAGAAGCCCAAGAAAGAGAAAGAGCAAGCAAAGTTGAAGGACCTTGTGAGCCAACTAAGCGTAAGGCTCCCTTTTGTCGATGCTTGCATGATTATTCCATCATTGAGGAAGTATATGAAGAGCATACTCACTAGCAACTTGAGTCTAGAAGAGGGAGTGATGTTGATAACAGAAGATTGTAGCCTAGCCCTCCAAAACAAAACCCCGGAGAAGCTTGACGACCCGGGGAGCTTTGTTCTCTCATGCCAAATCGGAGGTACGATCTTTAAACGCTGCCTTTGTGACTTAGGGTCTAGCGTGAATCTTATGCCCTATACAGTGGCCAAGCGCCTTGGCATAACAAGCTTTAGACCCACAAAGATTCAGTTGGTCTTTGCTGATCGATCGGTGAGGCGGCCCATTGGCATCGTGAGTGATGTACAAGTCATGATTGGTAAATGTTTCATACCGGCTGACTTTGTGGTGCTGGAACTAGACCAAGAACCAAGAGATCCCCTGATCTTAGGGCGACCTTTCTTAGCCACAGCCGGCGCCATTATTGATGTCAAGGGAGGAAAGATAGACTTACACTTGGGAGACTTGGTAATGAAGTTTCAAATTGACAAAACTTTGGAAAAGCCAACTATCGACGGGTTCTCTTTCTTGGTGGACAATTTAAGTGAGGTGTCTGAAGGAGTGTATGAGGAGCTGATAATGGACGACCCCTTAGAAGTGGCACTAACCCGTGTGGAGAAAGAAGGAGGCTATTTTAGTAGAGAAGCGCGAGACATAGCCAAATCACTCGATAACGCGGAGACGTACAAGAACTTGGTAGCTTATGTTGGCTTGGAGGAAGAAGTAATGGGCACAAACGCCTCAAGGGATGCATCCAAGCCGTCAAAGGAGCCATGGAGTGAGTTGAGCGCTCCAAAAGTCGAGCTCAAGGAGCTCCCCGTAGGGCTAAGGTACGCATTTCTCGGTCCCAACAATACATACCCGGTGATAATCAATTCAAATCTATCAAATGTAGAGACCGCGCTATTACTTTGTGAACTAAGAAAACACCGCAAAGCCCTTGGGTACACCCTTGAGGATATAACCGGTATTTCCCCAGAACTTTGTATGCACAGGATACATCTCGAGGATGAGTCTAAGTCCTCCATAGAGCATCAAAGGAGACTAAATCCAAACCTGAAAGATGTGGTGAAGAAGGAGATAATGAAACTCTTGGAAGCTGGAGTGATATACCCTATCTCGGACAGTACATGGGTGAGCCCGTCCACGTAGTTCCAAAGAAAGGAGGAGTGACGGTCATAAGGAACGAGAATGAAGAGCTCATACCCACCAGAACGATCACTGGCCACCGGATGTGTATCACTATCGTAAACTCAATGCCGCGACCAGAAAAGACCATTTTCCCTTACCCTTTATAGATCAAATGCTTGAACGGCTTGCTAACCATCCTTACTATTGTTTCTTAGATGGTTACTCAGGTTTTTTCCAAATCCCAATCCATCCCGACGACCAAGAGAAGACAACATTCACATGTCCATATGGAACGTTCGCATATAGGCGAATGCCTTTTGGCTTGTGTAATGCACCGGCTACGTTTCAAAGATGCATGATGTCAATCTTCACGGACTACATAGAAGACATAATGGAGGTATTCATGGATGATTTCTCAGTTTATGGCACATCCTTTGATGCTTGTTTGTCAAATCTTAGCAAGGTCCTCAAGAGATGTGAAGAGAAGCATCTAGTGCTAAATTGGGAGAAGTGCCATTTCATGGTGAGAGATGGGATCGTGCTCGGTCATAGAATCTCGGAGAGAGGCATTGAGGTTGACAAAGCCAAGATCGAGGTAATGGTGAACTTGGAACCGCCCAAGAACGTCAAGGGAGTAAGAAGCTTCCTAGGGCACGCGGGATTTTATAGGAGGTTCATAAAAGATTTCTCCAAGATAGCGCGCCCTCTCACTCAGTTACTTTGCAAAGAAGTGGCGTTTGAATTCAGTGGAGAATGCCTCGCGGCGTTCAAGAAAATCAAAGAAGCTCTCATTAGCGCGCCGATTGTACAATCACCGGATTGGGAGCTTCCTTTTGAGATTATGTGCGATGCAAGCGACTACGCCGTTGGAGCTGTGCTAGGCCAAAGGAAAGAGAAGAAACTCCACGTCATATACTATGCAAGCCGGACCCTCGACGAGGCACAATGCAACTATGCCACCACGGAGAAGGAGTTATTGGCGATTGTCTTTGCATTCGAGAAGTTTCGCTCATATCTCGTTGGCTCCAAGGTTATAGTGCATACCGATCACGCGGCTCTCAAGTATCTGCTGTCAAAGAAAGATGCAAAGCCAAGACTTATACGCTGGATACTTCTTTTGCAAGAATTTGACCTAAAGATCATCGATAGGAAAGGCGCGGAGAATGGCGTGGCCGACCATCTTTCAAGAATGAGAATCGAAGAGAGCATACCTATAGATGACTCATTACCAGAGGAAACGGTCTATGCGGTCAGCGCAGTACCTATGAGGAAAGAGACCCACCAAAGAGCCACGGAGAGAGAAATGCCTTTGGCGCGCCTTGGTATCGTCATATAGCCAACTATCTCGCGGCCGATATAGAGCCTCCAAACTTCTATGGATACAAGAAGAAGAAATTCTTGAAAGACATCAGATTTTACTTCTGGGACGAGCCATACCTCTACAAGAAGTGCCAAGACGGATTGTTTAGAAAATGCGTGCCGGAGGAAGAGATAGCCGGGATTCTCCATGGATGTCACGGATCAGCTTACGCAGGTCATTTTGCTACGTTCAAGACAGTCTCTAAGGTCTTGCAAGCGGGTTTTTGGTGGCCTACAATGTTTAAAGACGCTCAAGCATTCATCTCACGTTGTGATGCTTGCCAAAGAATGGGGAACATAAGCAAAAGGAATGAAATGCCGCAAAACTTTATCTTGGAAGTTGAGGTGTTCGATGTTTGGGGAATTGATTTCATGGGACCCTTCCCCACATCCTTTGGAGATCAATACATCCTAGTAGCAGTGGACTATGTCTCCAAGTGGGTTGAGGCAATAGCAGCTCCAACAAATGACTCGAGCGTGGTGATAAAATGTTCAAATCTATCATATTCCCAAGATTTGGAGTTCCAAGAGTTGTGATAAGTGATGGAGGCTCACACTTCATCAATCGGATCTTTGCAAACCTTCTAAAGAAATATGGAGTGCGGCACAAGGTAGCAAGCCCTTATCATCCACAAACAAGCGGCCAAGTGGAGATTTCAAACAGGGAATTGAAGAGCATCCTACAAAAGACAACCGGGAAAAATAGAAAGGATTGGTCAGGCCAAGCTAGATGACGCTCTTTGGGCGTATAGAACTGCTTTCAAAACACCTCTCGGGACAACTCCATTTCATCTTGTCTATGGCAAAGCGTGCCATCTACCGGTGGAACTAGAGTACAAGGCAGCTTGGGCGGTCAAGGAGCTAAACTTTAACCTTAAAACCGCAGCGGAGAGGCGCCTGATCCAACTTGAACGAGCTTGAGGAGATAAGACACTTGGCTTACGAGAACACCAAAATCTACAAAGAAAAGACCAAAGCTCTCCATGATAGGAAGATAGTGCCTAAGTCTTTGCCGCTAACGACCAGGTTCTGCTTTTCAACTCAAGACTCAAGCTTTTTCCCGGCAAACTACGCTCAAGATGGTCTGGCCCGTTCAAGATAAAAGAAGTCAAGCCATATGGAGCAGTGGTTCTTTGGGACCCTAGTGGAGGAGACTTCACCGTAAACGGTCAGAGGCTAAAACCATACCTAGCCAACTCGGAAAAGGGAGTAGAGGAAATCATACCCTTGGCCGATGCACCACAAGAATAAGAAAGAGAAGGAGTCAAGCTAAATGACTTAAAACAAAAGCGCTTTATGGGAGGCAACCCATATGGTTTTTAACTATTATTTCTATTTTGCAGGAGTTTTTCAAAAATCAAACAAAAATACAAAAATATTTTCTTAGGATGAAGACCCAAAGGAGACCAAACAATGGAAGTGTCCCACCCAATGAGCCCACCCTTGTACAAGGCGTTTCTCTTCCAAAAGGTAAGTAAACTCTCACCTAGTATTCATTTCAATCACTCTTGATCTTACTTGAAAAATCGTTTAAACCATTGCACTTTAAAATATATTTCATGGTTTAACTTGATTTACTTTTGATGATTGGAAAGAATACATAATCACTTGTCAAAACTCATTTCGCTCACTGAAATTACAAGAGATTGAACTATAGTTTGAAATTTGGATCATTGACCAAGACCAAATAAGAATTTATAGTTTGTGCTTTAATCTCTTGGATTGTGAACTTCAAGTTGGTCACTTGAGGATCACAATCTGAGAAACCATCTAATCATGATTTCAAGTGTTTTGCAAGGAGTTAACCATTTGACAGGAAGGAGAAATAAGCAAACCTATAACCAACCTCAAAACCAACATGCATATGGCGGCCAAAGGGAGGTTAAAAGGAGATACAAGGCCATCACACGAAACAAGGCGGCCACCACTTGGGAATGACACAGGAGGGTTATTAAAACAATTCGGTCGAAGAAAATCTCAATTGGCCCGAGTGGATTTGAAGAAATTCAATCCGGACATTTCTCTCGGCCATACCGCGCACAAGGAGACCAAATTACGGCCAACTCCTAAACGGCGTGACCAAAGTCCACCAAACTTCACAGGCGACCATAAAATCACATTTGGTCGGCAAATCCAAAAGATAGGACGGAGAAATCATCACGGATCATGAGATAGACGACGGAGCTCATTCTGGCCGATGGCGCGCAAGCAATATGGCCGACAAAACCAAATCACGGCATAGGCGCGCCAACCGGTTGGAAAACTCTTCTTTGAGCTTAACTAACACTTTTATGCAGGAAGAAACGAAAAGGAACGAGCCAAACTTCACATGGCCAAGGAAACTCCTTCCCGGAGCCGACTTGACCATTTTGTGAAGGAAGTCTCAATCCGCTCGTACAAATGCTCCCAAACTTCACCAGAGGCTAAAATACCAGGTTGGTCGATGAAATTTCAATATAGGTCATGAAATTTTGACGGTTTGTTCTGTAGTTCACAGCACCACATTTTGGCCGACCGAATATACCAATCTCGGCCAAAACACAAACCGGCGGAAACCAAGGCCTGAAATTAAAAACTCACCGACCAATATTGCCTAAAGAAGTGTAGAATGACCCAAACCGGAACTGATCTTCATTATAAATTGGTCGACATTTGGTAACATCATCCTAAACCTTTTTCTTTTCAATTTTTCATTTGAACTTCATGTTATGCCTCTCTTAATCCGATTTGATTTCACCGGGACGGTGCAAGTTAAGTCTGGGGGGATTACTAACAATGTTTGTTCATTTTGGCATTTTCATTTGCATTTTTTCCCTTTTATCGAGTCGTTTTTATTGAGTCAAAATTTTTGTCGAGAATCATGACCTTATCTTGGATCTAACCATGGTTGTACTAATGTTTAAGTGACCATTGAGCAGTTCTTGGCAATACATCTTACCACAGGTGCACTATGAGTTGATCGATCTACCAAAAACGCCTACATCTCTAAAGACTTGAGAAGGATCCATCTTTGACTCCGCCCTTAATGAACTTAATCTTCTCAGCTAGGGGCTTGGCATACAAATGGCATGATTCCTCATCCTCTCCATCAAATGAAAAAGTCTTAGTGAGTTCGTGCTTCCCTCTCTCTCCCCTTCAAATTTAAAGAAAAAGCGTAAGGTCCAAGTAACCGGGGATTCGGTGGCAAACACCATCAATACTCGCGTCTATGGAAGGCCTATGAATCCAAGCAACCGGGGATTCGGTGGCAAACACCATCAATACTCGCGTCTGTGGAAGATCCAAGCAAAACCTCTATAATAAAGAGAAGGAGTTGAATAAAAAAATACTTCGCTACCCTAAAAAAGGGATGAATCAACTCAAAGAAGTGAGAAGAGAGAGAGGAGAAACATGGAGTAAAAGACAAGTGCCAAACAAGGGGATGAGTAATGATCGATACTCCCTAGTTGAGATCAAGGGTGGCGAATTGGATTGTCCAAGGAGAGGTGGACCGCTTTGGGAAAATCGCAAAACTCATGGTATGTACTTTGTTCTTAATTCAAAACTTGCCAATGCTGTTTCATGTGGATTACTAAAGCATAAGTCAATTTGGATTTCCAAAAGATTTGAGAGTTCTCACGTTTTCAAACCTCTTTTCCTGCTTAGTTTGCTTGGGGACAAGCAAAAGGCTAAGTCTGGGGGAGTTGATATCACCATATTTTACATGATTTTACTATATAATTACCTATGTTTTCAAACGGTTTTTGCAAGATTCTTTGCCTTTAGAGGTAGTTTTCTTGTATTTGTGGGATTTGAAGTCTTGTAGGTGAAAATCAAAAAGGATGCAAAAAGGAGTAAAAGAGCCCTAAATCAAGATCCATGCAAGTTTCCAAGTCAAGAAGATCATTTTATCTCCAAGTGTTAGTTCTCGCTAGCGCGCAGAACGAAGCTTCGGAAGTTTGGCCGCGCGCGGAGGAGTTCCCGACGTCCAAAAGTTACGATCTTGATATGGAAAGATAGATACTTGAGTCATGCATCACGTCGAAGTGGAATGAAGCCATTTGGATCAACTATGAGGCCTAGACTTATTTTCTACCGAGACATGTCCGGTAAGCGAGTAAACGAAGCCCATGGAGGATTTGGAGTGTCTAATGGCCCGAGCAGCAGCGCCAAAGGCCTTGATCGAATAGAGAAGAGGCCTGGCTAATGTTTGGAGCTTTCCTTGGTACAATGTCGGCCCATACACGACGTGGAGAAGAAGGCTCGGCGCATGAGAAACTTTCCTTTTTCAGCATGAAGAAAACCCTACGCGACTTCGCCCATATATACATGTTTTTAGCCGCTGAGCGCGAGAGTCTAGAGTGTGAAGGTGTGCGCCGTCAGAGAAGAAGAGGAGTACCCCAAGAAGAAGAAGGAAGCCTCTCGGATCAAGCCGCACACGAACACTCAAAATCGTTACATCTTTGTTCTTGTCATTTTTTTTCCGGATTTTGGAGTTAAGGGAAGGATTCGACTTTTCATCAATAGAGAAGCTTTCTTCATCCCTTTTCTCTTTAATATTCGCATGATGCTTTCATTCAAATCTTGTTTGTTTGTTTGCACCATGGCCGAGTAAATCTCTTACTAGGCCGTGGTGATCAATGACCTATAAATGAGATCTTGTGAATTGAAATAACCTTTGAGTTCTTCACCTTTACTTGAGCATAATGCCGTTTGCTTTTCTGATCATCTAGCATCGGATCTTAGGGTTAATATACTCTCCAAAAGCTTGTTATATTGCCGGAACTAGTATTTGGTGAGCGATAGTTCACGGCCAACGAAAGTTGAGTTGTGGAGTATTGTGAACAATTAAATCTTGAACATCTTTAATGCATGTTTACAACTAATAACCAACGAAAGCTGAGTCTATTAGGTTGTTTAAACATAGTAGTTGGAGCCACGAAAGTGGAAAAACTATATCTTAGTGATTTAAGTTCAAGAACGGTCTATAATGAATCTCTTTCACTTGACTTCTTTGTTTAAGTTTGTTGCATCTCGGCGATCTACCATTGTCTAGTGTTTCCCCTTATTGATCTCATCCATTTCCATCTATTCATTATTGCCAAAACATTCTCAAACCATATTTTGCTTTAGCTTGCTTCAACTCTTACTCTTGTAGCACAATCGATAGGTCCTTGTGGATTCGATCCCATACTATACTTACCTCGTTGCTGTGCACTTGCAGGTACTTAAGTTGGGTAAAACTTGAAGACAAACCCAGCTTGCATCATGCTCTCCACGCCCTATTTATCCACAATAGGCACGCCTTGAAACCCTACAAGGTTTATCCCTTGGTGACCACTCCAAATCTCCAAGAGAATATTTCTTTTCTTATTTTTCTCTAGGAAAAGGAAATATTCCTACTTGCTTGATAGCTGTTAATATCTTCGTCCAACTCAGCTCTTGACTTTCTAGAATCTTCTAGACACGTCCTCATCAGCTACAAGCAAATGTCCTGCCCATCAGATCGATTCCTTAAGCCCTTTTGCTGAACACGACTCTCTGTACTACTTCGTGACAGATACTCTAAGTGCTTCAGTCAACTGCATCTTCATATGTTATATGTTATGACATGTTCTACACTGCATCAGCACTTCGCAACAAGTACTGCCTTAAGCTGTAGCACATCCTGTTTATGTATCTTCTCAAACCAGTCAGCATATACACTTACACTCGAGAGCTCCGCCGCCGTCACTACTGCTCACTCCGACGCCGCCGCACGTGATTCCGGTCCATCTCGTGACGATCCCGTCGTTGTTCCCGTGAGAAGAAGCTGTCGAGACATCGTGCCGTCACGTCGTCTTCTCGACTCTGCCGCCACCAATCTCCGTCACCGATCTCCTGCTCCGACTCATCGTCACCGTTGATTGAGTTGTTTCGGTAAGAGTCGGATCTATTTTGCTCCATCGTCTTCTCCGTTATGTTTTGCCGAGAGTGATGTGATCGCCATTGTTGTATTCTTGTACCTTCAGCCGCAAGCTATTGGATCTTCACTTAGGTCGTCGTTTGGTGTTGTTGTCAGTGTAGTACGTCATCGTTTGGTAAGCTGAGTTGACTTCTCCTTCGTGTCTTCTTTTTCCCGAGAGCTTAAAATCATATCCATGTTATTTGGATGATAACATGTGATCATGTAAAGTATGTGATGTGGTTCACGTGTGCATGGATTCTAAGCTGCTTCCTTTCATTGTTAGTTTAGGTCCAAGTAACATTTGAGCTGTGTGGGTGTTCTTCTGCCGTGAGTTAGCGTCCGTCCGTCGTCGTTATTTCCAAATCCGTTTCAACCCGAAAATCAAAGGTGAGGACTGGAGTCGTGATATATTTTCTTCTTTATTTATAATTATATGAATACACGTATTTGTGTGGTATATTATTATATTATTAATTATATAATATTAATAATGTGATTGATGAACCTAGTAATATAGATTGCTAAATGGAAAATGGTTGTGTGATTTTATGAAAGTGTTTGCGGGTGTTTGCATTGTGTGCGGGAAATCACTTGTGCGGGTTTGGAGTTAAGCTTTTAGGCTTGAGGCGGTTTGCCTGTGTGTGACACGATAGTGTGTCTGTGTGCTGGATGTGGGGAGTTCCATAGTCCATCGTCGGTGGCTTGACGAGCCAGGTGTCTTGAAAGAGAGGCAGGCGTCTTGAAAGAGAGATGGACAGCGTGTTGTGTCGCTATATGCCACGGGGTGTGCGCCGGTATTGGGCGATGATGCACCAGTAGGATGAGGAGTCATTTCTTGTTGTATGAGTGTCTTCGGACTTGTGTGTATTGCGTGTATTAGCTTTAGACTTTCGCCTATGGTGGTTATAAATATACTAGAGGTATACCGTGGGTCCCGTTGGACCTACACTCACTGCGTAATTCAAATTACTCAACCCTCTTTTTTTTTATCTCAGGTGAATGCGGAGGCATACAAGAGTAGTGTCTTGGCTGGGTGATGGTTTTGGGGAAGACACGGGTTTTATTTTATTATTATTATTTATTTAAAGACTTTGTTATTTAAATTTGGATTTGATATTTAAGTTTAATAATGGTTTTGTAAGACATTTTGAATACGATTCTTGGGAATAAAGTAGTATTGAACTAGCAAGTGGTTTCTTGTGGTGAAAGTTAATATACTTGGACATTCCTTCTTGGTTAAGTAAGAGGCGGGTGTCACAATTGGTATCAGAGCCTAGGGTTGCCAAACCGGTTCTGACCCGGGAGGCGGATTGAGAAAAGGAAATGTTTTCAAAACCGGTTATTTTTTTTAGTTGTTGAAATTTCAAAAATTATTTTCGGATTTACTTTAGAATTTTCGGAATATTTAAAATTTTCGGATTTTTCGAAATGGGGAATTTTAATAAGAAAAAGTGTCAGACATCACCAAGTTGACTGAATCTCTGTATTGCTCTTGTGTTTGGTGTTGGTTTGTGAAAGTGACTGATCGCTTGTTCTTCTGTATTCAGGATGCCGCCAAAGAAAGCTAAGGTTGTGAAAGCTAAGGTTGTGAGACAAGCCAGAGTTGTGCGACCCGCAGCTTCATCAGAAAGTGTGCATGGTAGCAATACCGAGCAAGAGCCAGTGGGTGTGAACCCAGCAGGGGCAGCCTAAGGTGTTAACCAAACTGCTGCATATGCAGTTATGATGGAGGAGTTGCAGAGGTACCGTGAACGTTTTGGAGATCAGATGCGTAATGACCCGGGAGCGGGAAATGTGCATCAGCCGGACGCGCCGTTGAATGGCCAGAACCAGGGAGTGCAGTATCCGCCGGTTGTGCATGTGCCGGCACAGGGCCGTTCGTATTGGGAACTGATGGGGCATATGAGGAATATGCAGATGGATCATTTCGATGGAAAGACAAGTGATGTTGTTGCTGATAATTGGAGGAAAAAGCTGGAGAAGAATCTTGATGCAATCAGGTGCCCACAGGAGTACCGCCTTGACTTGGTTGTGCACTACCTGAAGGATGATGCCATGATTTGGTGGGATGGTGTGATGGAGGTAGCGCAAGGGCATTAAGATTTGACTTAAGGTGATTTCAGAGAAGAGTTCACCAGGGAGTATTTCCCGCCAGAGGCCATGGATAAGATGGAAAATGCTTTTGAGGATCTTCGTCAGGGTAACCAAACTGTTCGGGAGTACAAGGAGGAGTTCAATCGTTTGAAGAGATTCTCAGCGAAGCATCTGAGTGAGGCTGAGCAGGTCCGCAAATTCATGAAGGGACTGAGACTTGATCTCAAGAACCGCTGTTCTATCAGGAAGTATGACAGTCTGTTGGATTTGGTCGAAACTGCAGCTGGGCAGGAACTTGGATTCCAGGAGGAACAAAAGTTGTCCAAAGGTTTTCAAGCTAAAACCGGAAAGGGAGATAGTAGCAAGAGGAGCTGGGCTACTGCTAATGCTACACCAGGAGAGTATGCTAAGAACTTGACTTGCTTCAAGTGTAACCAGCGTGGGCATCTCAAGAAGGATTGCACTGTTGGCAATTTTCCAAGAGGGGTTCAGCCTAGAGCCGTGCAGCCTGTGAGGGCCACTTGTTTCCGTTGTGGACAGAATGGGCACATTGCAAGGAATTGTATGGTTCCGCTTCAGGGACACCAGCAAGAGAGGGGACAGAACCGTGAGCAGTTACAGTTGCCACCGCCACCAGTCGGGCAAGCAGCAAGGCCTCGGGTTAATGTCGTTGGAGAACACGGTGGTGTTGAACCGATCACGGGTATGTCATTTCTTCTTGACTTTTGTGATTATTCATTAAGAGTCTTGTGTGAAATTTGAATAGCATGCTTAGCGTAGTACCAACCGTGTAGGATCGGTTTTGGTTGGGGGAGTTGCCGCCCATACATTTTTTGACACAGGAGCTACGCATAGCTTTGTGTCACCGACACTGACAAAGTGTTGGACCTTTAAAGGCGTTTTTGTCTCGAGGGCGAAAGAGATCGAGACAGCCGGAGATGAGAGGGTGAAGTATACCGGGGTTTACGAAGAAGTACCCATAGTGCTAGAAGGTGTGGAGATGCTCGGAAATCTTGTGAAAATGGAGTTGAATCACTACGAGGTGATTCTCGGAATGGATTGGTTGACGAAACATCGAGCTGTACTTGATTGTCCGCGAGCACGGGTACATATCCCGAGGACAGAAGGGAAGTTGGTGTTCCAAGGGATCAAGAGAAATAGCGGAATCTCCATTATTTCGATGCTGCAAGCAGAGGAGTTATTGGAGAAAGGAGCTGAAGCATATCTTGCCACCATTACTATGAATGAGAAAGAGTCGACACCGGTGTTGAGTACCATTCCGGTGGTAGCGGAATACGAGGACGTGTTTGAACCGTTGACGGGACCACCGCCACACCGAGGTGATGCATTCACGATAGAGTTGGAGCCGGGAACCGCACCTATATCGAAGGCACCTTACCGGTTAGCGACAGCGGAAATGGCTGAGCTCAAGAACCAGTTAGAAGATTTGGCTGAAAAAGGCTTCATTCGACCGAGTAGTTCACCGTGGGGAGCGCCGGTGTTATTCGTCAAGAAAAAGGACGGAAGTTTCAGACTCTGTATCGATTATCAGGGATTGAACAAAGTGACGATAAAGAACCCGTACCCGTTGCCAAGGATCGATGAGTTGTTGGACCAACTACAAGGAGCGTCTTGGTTTTCTAAGATAGATTTGGCATCAGGTTACCATCAGATTCCGATAGCCGAGAAAGATGTGAGGAAGACGGCTTTTCGGACGTGCTATGGTCATTATGAGTTTGTAGTAATGCCGTTTGGACTGACCAATGCGCCATCAGCTTTTATGAAGTTGATGAACAATGTTTTTCGGGATTATCTGGACAAGTGTGTTATTGTGTTCATCGACGACATATTGATTTACTCAAAGAGTAAAAGGGAGCATGAGTTGCATCTGCGAGTTGTGATGGATAAGCTGAGAGAGCAAAAGTTGTAAGCAAAGTCGAGCAAGTGCAGTTTTTGGCAGAGGAAAATCAGATTTTTGGGGCATGTAGTGTCAGAAGCAGGAGTTCCTGTTGACCCGAAAAGATAACCGCCATTACTAATTGGCCGACCCCAAAAAAGTGCCACCGAAGTTCGTAGTTTCTTGGGATTAGCGGGTTACTACCGAAAGTTCGTGAGAGATTTTGCAAGTATGGCTAAACCGATGACAAAGTTGACTGGGAAGGATGTCAAGTTTATTTGGTCTGAGGCATGTGCAAAGAGTTTCGAGAACCTGAAGGATCACTTGACCCAGACTCCTGTGCTTGTGCTACCTAAGCCGGGATTGCCATATGTAGTGTACACAGATGCATCCGGAACGGGATTGGGATGTGTGCTTATGCAAGAAGAGAAGGTGATTGCTTATGCGTCAAGGCAGCTGAGGCCTAATGAGGTTAATTATCCGACGCACGACCTTGAATTTGCTGCCGTGGTTTTTGCTCTTAAGATATGGCGTTCTTATCTGTACGGAGAGCGGGTACATATTTTTACGGATCACAAGAGCTTAAAGTACATTTTCACTCAGGGAGAGCTGAATCTGAGGCAGCGGAGATGGACTGAGTTGTTGGCGGATTACGACTTAGATATACTTTATCATCCCGGGAAAGCTAACCAAGTAGCAGACGCTCTTACTAGAGGTAAGGCAGACGTTTCCGAAGGCAAAGAAGTGCAAGAGCTCGTTGCTACTTTGGCTACTTTGAGGTTGTGTTCTATAACCATGGACGGAGAATCAGTTAGGTTAGAAGCCCTAGATCAGGCGGATTTACTTTGGAGGATCTACGAAGCAAAGCAAAAGGATGTTACCTTGCGGAAGTTGCTTGACAAGGAAGTTTCCGGATACCGTATTGCTGCAAACGGGACTTACTTGTTCAGAGACAGAGTGAGTGTGCCATACAACAAGGACTTGAAGGATGAGATCTTGCGTCAGGCTCATACTTCGACATTTTCGATTCACCCGGGAAATACGAAAATGTATCGGGATTTGAAACGCTACTACCATTGGGACAGGATGAAGTGAGACATCGCCGTGTGGGTTTCATAGTGTCAGACATGTCAGATGGTTAAGGCAGAACGCAGAGTACCAAGTGGGTTACTGCAAGATTTACCGTTGCCAAAATGGAAATGGGACATGGTGACAATGGATTTTGTTATGGGGCTACCAAAGACAACCGGAAATAAGGATGCGATTTGGGTAATTGTGGATAGACTTACCAAATCAGCTCACTTCCTTGCCATCAAGAAAACGGATGGGGCAGATAAGTTGGCACAAAAGTATTTGGATGTAGTGGTGCGATTACATGGAGTGCCGGTGAGCATTGTGTCGGACCGAGACCCGAAATTCACATCAATCTTCTCGCAAGCTTTTCAGAAAGCGTTGGGCACCAAGGTGCATCTGAGTACGACATATCATCCGCAGACCGATGGACAGTCCGAGCAGACGATTCAGACACTTGAGGATATGTTGAGAGCTTGTGTGCTATACTGGGAAGGAAAATGGGGAAAGTACCTCCCATTGGTGGAATTTGCTTATAATAACAGTTTTCACTCAAATATCGGAATGGCTCCATATGAGGCTCTATATGGGAGACCGTGTCGTACCCCGCTCTGTTGGACCGAAGTTGGGGAAAGACGAGACTTAGAGCCGGAGATGATTCAAGAAACAGTAAAGCAAGTTAAGTTACTAAAAGAGAGGCTTAAAGAAGCTCACGACCGTCAGAAAAGTTATGCGGATCAGCATAGAAAAGATTTAGAGTTTGCAGTTGGTGATGCTGTGTATCTAAAAATGAGGACGTTCCAAGGAACCGATAAGAATCGTAAGCTGAAAAAGTTGAGGCCAAGGTTCATGGGGCCGTATAAGATTATAGAGAGGATAGGGGCTGTTGCCTATCGGTTGGACTTACCACAAGAGTTATCGGAATTTCATGATGTGTTTCATGTATCTATTTTGATAAAAGTGGTTCGGGAACCAGAGATAATCTTAGCTCAGCCGCCATTGGGCGTGGGTCGAAACTTGAGTGTTACGAGTAAGCCGGTAGAAATCTTGGACCGTCGGGAAATGGAAGTTCAAGGAAAGAAAGTAAAGTCAGTTTAAAGCCTGTTGGGAGAGAGATGGTATTCGTGAAGAGACATGGGAACCAGAGTCAGAGATGTTAGAGAATTATCCCGAACTCTTTAAGGACAAGAGCGGACTTACGGGAAATGGATTGAATTCGGGGATGAATTCTTCTAAAGCGGGGGAGAGTTGTGACATCCCGGGCCCAGGAGAATTGGAAAAGGCCCATTGGCCCACTAAAGCCCATCAGAGTCCAACCCTAGCTGCACCTCCTTCTTCCCCTCACGATAAAAACCTGCGCGAGAGAGAAGAGCAGCCACACGCTCATGCTAAGGAGAACCGCTGTCCGATTCTCGAGAGCTCCGCCGCCGTCACTGCTGCTCACTCCGACACCGCCGCATGTGATTCCGGTCCATCTCGTGACGATCCGTCATTGTTCTGTGAGAAGTAGCCGAGACATCGTGCCGTCACGTCGTCTTCTTGACTCTGCCGCCACCGAACCACCGAACCGATCTCCTGCTCTGACTCGTCGTCACCGTTGATTGAGTTGTTTCGGTAAGAGTCGGATCTATTTTGCTCCATCGTCTTCTCCCTTATGTTTTGCCGAGAGTGATGTGATCGCCATTGTTGTATTCTTGTACCTTCAGCCGCAAGCTATTGGATCTTCACTGAGGTCGTCGTTTGTTGTTGTTGTTAGTACGTCATCGTTTGGTAAGCTGAGTTGACTTCTCCTTCGTGTCTTCTTTTTCCCGAGAGCTTAAAATCATATCCATGTTATTTGGATGACAACATGTGATCATGTAAAGTACGTGATGTGGTTCACGTGTGCATGGATTCTAAGCTGCTTCCTTTCATTGTTACTTTAGGTCCAAGTAACATTTGAGCTGCGTGGGTGTTCTTCTGCCGTGAGTTAGCGTCCGTCCGTCGTCGTTATTTCCAAACCCGTTTCAACCCGAAAATCAAAAGTGAGGACTGGCGTCGTGATATATTTTCTTGTACATTTATAATTATTATAGATTGAGTAGTCTATTGTTAATACGTGTATACCTGCGTGTAGCTATATGAATACACGTATTTGTGTGGTATATTATTATATTATTAATTATATAATATTAATAATGTGATTGATGAACCTAGTAATATAGATTGCTAAATGGAAAATGGTTGTGTGATTTTATGAAAGTGTTTGCGTGTGTTTGCATTGTGTGCATGAAATCACTTGTGCGGGTTTGGGGTTAAGCTTTTAGGCTTGAGGCGGTTTGCCTGTGTGTGACACGGTAGTGTTTCTGTGTGCTGGATGTGGGGAGTTCCATAGTCCATCGTCGGTGGCTTGACGAGTCAGGTGTCTTGAAAGAGAGGCAGGCGTCTTGAAAGAGAGACGGACAGCGTGTTGTGCCGCTATATGCCACGGGGTGTGCGCCGGTATTGGGCGATGATGCACCAGTAGGATGAGGAGTCATTTCTTGTTGTATGAGTGTCTTCGGACTTGTGTGTATTGCGTGTATTAGCTTTAGACTTTTGTCTATGGTGGTTATAAATATACTAGAGGTATATCGTGGGTCCCGTTGGACCTACACTCACTGGGTAATTCAAATTATTCAACCCTCTTTTTTTATCTCAGGTGAGCGCAGAGGCATACAAGAGTAGTGTCTTGGCTTGGTGATGGTTTTGGGGAAGACACGGGTTTTATTTTATTATTATTATTTATTTAAAGACTTTGTTATTTAAATTTGGACTTGATATTTAAGTTTAATAATGGTTTTGTAAGACATTTTGAATACGATTCTTGGGAATGAAGTAGTATTGAACTAGCAAGTGGTTTCTTGTGGTGAAAGTTAATATACTTGGACATGCCTTCTTGGTTAAATAAGAGGCGGGTGTCACAGTTCTGGTAACCCTTGGGTAAATATGAAGGATGTGAAAATTCCAGGGCTAGAAGATAAATACGCAAAACCTCTATGGTTCCCAAGCAGCGACGTCGTATCGGTGATTGGTTTTTGTCGGCTTGGTCTTTGCAACATGAACAACAAGAAGTTTTCATATTTGCGTCTGACCCAACATTCTTTGCCTAGCTATATACCCAGAGATATTTGCTTCCCTTTCTACTCTAACTACGAAAGTGTTTGTGTGAATGAAGATCGGTTTGGTAAATAAATCGGTCACAATTAGATAGTACAACGGATGTGAACGTAATGGAATTTTGCAGAACATTTCCATTATGTTATCAGATTTTAATTGTTATATATCTTCTTCTTTGTTTCCCTCTTTCATATCTCTTTGAACACATTCATCTTGGTTAAGCTTATTAAAATTGTAAAATAATATAAACACAAGGTGGTTGGCCCGCAGGGCGCGAGCGGTTTTTAAAAAAAACATATTTATAAACTATTTTTTTGTTTCTTAATTCAAAAATTAAAATAATATTAAAAAAAATAAAATAAAAATAATACTATCAAAATATGTTCATAAAAAAATTATATATTCAAATCAAACCAAATGTTTTAAAAAACTTTTTTATATTATACGATAATTAGTTTCATATATTTTTGTTCTTTTCAAAATTTTCATGATGTTTGTTCTCTCGATACAATGGACAAACCCAGTTCAGTTATTTCAAATATCTATACTATTAAAATGGAAGCTTTCCAGGGTGCATGCTGGAGTTATCCTTGTGACCAAACAGGAAATTATCCCAATTATCCGAATTTTTAAGTATAACCCGGAAGGATACCGGGTCGGATCCTGTTAAAAAGACCATTTACCCCGACGCTTTTCAAAGAACTTTTTTTTAGAGGTTCATGATCGACAATTTTTTATATTGTTTTCTTTTTACAGATCCGCTGTTGATGATGATAGCGATGATGATAGCGAAACTGAAGAAATGGATGTTTAAACCATGAACTTTTCTGCTATCTATATGTAACTTAACTACGAGAACCATGCTATTGCTGTTTAAGTTTAATTTCAAGTTAAGATTCAAAGTTTCAGAATATCTACATCTATCGAAAACACTAAGTCAGCAAAAAAACCAAATACGTTATTCAGAGATACTTACTTCAACGGTTGAGAGGTGTGCATTGAACTTAATATGTCTCGGACTTGTGCTCTCTAGAAATTGAAGTCCAAATCCCGGTTCATGAAAACACAGAGAATGAAAGATGGAAGAAGCACGGGATGTTATTTTTGTATAAGATAGATAGTGACAAACTGTTACTTAGATTCCAATGACATAAAAGCTCTGCATCTCTTGTTTTCTTTTTGGATAGAATTTGCCGATCTTCAAGCTATTTCCAGTATTTAAAATACAAACGTGTTCGATCAAGAAAAAACGTGTTCGATCAAGTTTGAACAACTACCCATGTGACAATTAATGAAGGTCAAATCCTCTTTTCTTTTGAATTATTGGGAGGTTTTGAGTCAAAACTCATACATACTTTACGAGACCAAATTATATAATATGCTCCCGTCACCTCAAGCCTTTGCTCTTAATTTTTTTTTTTTTTTTTTTTTTTTTTTTTTTTTTATTGGGTCGAATAATAAAATTGATCTCTTTAAAAACAGAATTTAAGATGATCACTTTACTTTTTTTATTGAGGTTTGGTTTGTAATTTTTAAAATAGTTTTCTAATTCCATCTTATTTTTGCACAACATTTCATTTATATAATAGACATTTCAACTCCATTTTCTTGTTTTCTAATTCCATCTAAAACATTGTATTTGGATTCTTATACTAAGTGGGAGCCCGCTCTGCGTGCGGGATTATGGTCCGTGCGGGATTATGGTCCGACGTGAATTCTGTAAATGTGGTTATTATTTTCCTTTTGTAGACTGTTATGGAAATTTTTATTTTTATTTATTGGTGATATATGTAATGACTAGTCTCGATGTGGCTCACCATCATATTTTAGTAAGGAAATTTTTGTCCAATATGTTGGGAAGTATTAAAAATGTTTATATATTTATTCCAATATTATCACTTCCCAAATCTTTATAAGAAAATTCTTTTCTAGTTGTCTGTTAACCTCTCTTTATTCTTTCGCCAACTTTTATTATACTGCAGATATACCTTGACATGAGAAATAGGTTTATAAAAATCAGGTCTCATCATGTCCATAAAGAAGGATTTATAAGATAGAGAAGTGTCAATAGAGAAGTTCATAATTACATGTCATTGTTTTTTTATGAATTGTTAAATGTAAATGTCTCGATTTTGTTTGCGGTTAGGCTGAACGGAGTGAAATAATCGGTGGAGAACTGAAAATGCAAACAATTACATTGGAATCTCAAAAGTTAATGAACAATGTAGAGAACGTATTTGTAGTAGAGATTATATTAATTCTCTTCTACATTAAGGACATGATGTTCTGTAATATAACCAATATGCAATACAGTCATGGTGGAATTTATGACTGCAACTCAAAGTGTTGATGTTTTGCGGACCTCTTAGTTTGTCAAGACATATAGGACAGTCACCATGTTCTTCTTCTGTAGCTTGGGCTTGTGTTGCTTCTAGGTATGTGATTACCAGGTCGACATCCAATCTTGTTAATGAGTTTGGGTTGTGATCTTCAATTTTAAAGAAAACTTGTAGACGGTTTGTGTGTTCCGCTTCCGGTGATAATACCACTGTCTCAATAAAGTTTAATAATTTTTCCGTTAACGTAGTTGTTGTGTCATCGTCAATGTCATGATATTCGATGAAGAATATGACTGCCTGCTTGAAGCTTGAGTTAGTTTCTTCAATGATTTGATTGTTGGTAAAAAGCTGTGTTGAAAAACTCGTTGGGCGGTACTGGGGCGCTCAGTGTGGGAGTAGCGACTTTTGCAAAAGTCTGAAATAAGTCGAGGCATACTCGAAGTTTTATTTTTAATCATATATACTATATATATTATTTTGTTGGGATAATACATTAATATTAAGTGGCCCGGTGGTTTATAAGTGAGGTACACGTTGCCAGAGACGCCCGGTGTTTTCTATGTTTTAGGTTTAATGACTAGAAATTACCATTATACCCTTATCTTCTTCATCTTTCTGCAACCCTAACTTCGCCGCCTCTCTTATTTTTTCACAGTTTTCATCATTTTTTTGCTTATTAAATCTACTTTTCATAGTAAATGATGTTAGATCCATCATATATTTGGTGATTTAAGATCAAAACGAATGAAAATTTGATTTTTTTCGAAGATTTCCGAGTTGTTGACCAAGTAGGGGAAAATTGGGCGGTTGGAGGCCGCCGAGCGCATTACCACCGAGTCCTCGACCGTTTTGCCCGAGTTTTAGAACACAGGTAAAAAGGAATGTGTAGCTGATGTTGTATTCTTGTCGTAGCGGTCAAGTGATTCCTGAGAAGCTGCCATCGTTCATATCACATTTATGTCACCTATGACACCCTTTCCAAACAACTCTTTTTTTTCTTAATTTTTTAACTTTTTTTTCTTAATTTTTTAACTCCTTTGTTTCTTCATTTTTTATCAATACCTGAGAAATGAAGAAAAAAACCAAACTACACGATTTCTCCTCTCCCCTTCTTCTCCCCTTAATCGAGATCTGATTTTCATTTTAGTAATTGTTTGCAATGTAATCGTTTGCATTTTCAGTTCTCCACTGATTATTTCACTTCGTTCAGCCTAACCGCAATCAAAATCGAGACATTTACATTTAAAAATTCATAAAAAAACAATGACATGTAATTATCAACTTCTCTATTGAGACTTATCTATCTTATAAATCCTTCTCTATTGAGAGGCTGAGACTTGATTTTTATAAACCTATTATTCCTCTCAAGGTATATTTGCAGTATAATAAAAATTGACGAAAGAACACTACAAGAAATATGTACATTCTTAACACGAAAAATCTGCTATTATATGTGTACCATAGCATTATCATAAATGCTGTGTCATCGGCAGCTATAATAGGTTCCACCTCTAAGATAGCGTTTTTGAATACGCTAACGTAGTTTAACATACCATAGCAGATTTTCAATGTTATTGTGTAGGTTTTTATAGCACTACCTATTTCTGTTATCTTTTTTATAAAAACTCACTTCTCGTGCTATGAAAGAGTCGTCTATAATAGCAAATTTGCAACGCTAGTATAGCTGTTGTAGAGAAGTATGTTATAGCTTTGTAATTGCTATCATACACAAATTCATGACTACTGATTATCGCTATGGAACGAATTATAACCTTTTTTTTGCTATTATAACCCGTTATATTGTAATAATGAAAGAAACAGAACCTGTTATAATGAAATAAAACCATCCATATCATTGTACTGAATACCAATCCAACATACAAAGCACAAGTCTAGTTTGAATCTCTGAAGCATAAAGATAGTTTTAGCAAAACACAAATCTCAGAAGTTTGAATCCCACAGAACCAAAACAAACCACACGTACATTAGTCTAGTTTTAAACTAGTTAAAACTATCTAATGTGGACCAAAGTAGCTTCATTCCCTGCAACAAAACCAATTATGACCATCAGTTTGACAATTACAGTAGCACAAGGCAAACCAATGCATACTCACACCACCAATGACAAGATTTATTTAATTACCTTAGTTTCTCATACTTAGAAGACGACCAATTTATCGATTGGCCATGCAATAGATGAACCAAGTGCATCTTTCATATACTCGATTTCATCTGACGGCCTCCAAACTGGTGCGTCATCTTCCTTCACCGAATCAACCCAAACTCTAGCTGCCTTAGAACCCAACCGAACAAAATGCACCTTCAGTTCTGGGTCAGTTGAATGCACACGTCCTTCAGCAACAACACGCTTCTTCCCGCTTATATCCATCAACTTGCACTTCTTATTTTCCTTGATAGCTTCTGCTCCATAGTTCTTCATACATGTTTCCCATATCAAATATGTTAGGTGTAGATAAAAATAATCAAAATCAAAATTCACATCACAGATATAGCCAATTAAATTACCTGAGATGATGCCGGAGACTTATCACCATGAGATGTAGCCGGAAATGAATCACTACGAGATTTTGGACCAGTTGCTGCTGTTGTAAATCCGGTATTTCTTCCGCTTGATTCAAAATTCTGAGTAGATTTTTGAGCTGATGCGGTCGTAGTGTTTTCGAAGACAACTTTGTTGACAGGCCACGCTACATAAGACTGTAAGCAGACCTCAAGATATGCCACATCCATCGTAGGCCTCCATATAAATGTATCCGGTTGTTGTATGTCATCAACAAATACTTTCACTGCTTTAGGACCGAGTGGAAGTCCATTAACCAATGACTTGGAATCTTGTGTCTGCCAACGTCCTTGAGCGACGACTACATCATCGGAAGACAAATCCAGAAGCTTGCATTTGTTCAGACAATTATTCTTTGCGCCCTGCCAAACACATTGAAACAACGTTTTTGTTGTATGTTACCTTATACTAAACAATTAATAATCACCCATTTAAGCAAGAAGAAAAATACAGTAAACGAGAAATTTATAAACTTTACCAGTTCTGCAATGTCTTCTGGTTGGATCCCCTGTTCTATGTTAACACACTTAGCAGCAGGCCATGCAATCATCTGTCTAACTGCTTCTTGAACTGTAAACATTGTACTTGCAGGTCTCCAGAGGTATGCGTCTGGTACAGTAGCAATTTCAACCAATACTTTCACATCTGTAGGGCCTAACCCACTATCATTCACTTCCTCATCCGGATCAGAAGAAATAATACGACCCTCAGCAACATTGGTATCATCATCAGTCCAATCAAGCAAGATACACTTAGGTTGTGTTTTCTTGTTCACACTCTACACAATTTGTTGTAGAAAACAAATTTCAGACTCCAAACTATGAAAAAATAATGATTCTGATATAATGTATTTACTTTTGCTGCTGAGTTTTCGCCAACTTCAAGTTCTTGTCTCTGTTAAGAAAATAAAAGTAAAAATTACATCTTAGCTAACAGTTTAGAAGCTTAATGTTTTCTTACTGCAGTGTCTAACCTGGTTCTTCATTTTGGCAATTTCCTCTTGTAACTCGGTGACCTTTTGCAGGAGGTGAATTTGCTTCTCTTCCATTTCAACAATACACTTATGCTTCACTTGGAAACAAGCTAGCTTAGTCTTACTCATGTTTCTGCCCATCGTCCTCAATCGACCCGGATTATCAGGTCCTAACAGTTCGTTGAGGGCATCTTCACACTCATTTGAAGCAGTAGACGGATTACCACGATTAAGAATATCCGCTGCCTTTATCTGCAACACATAGTTGTATGTGACAGTCAATTCCTAAATCAATATGTACACAACAACCATTACCCAAAAAAATAGAGATTAGTAAAATGTCAAACTCACAATCTTCTCTGCGGCATTGGTATTCACTGCTGTACCATCCTTTTTGGTCCGCGACTTCACCCACACCTATAGTCTTGACACTTCAGATGGGTCTGAACTAGCGCTTTTCTAAACCAGAATCAAATCAATCAAAAGACTAAGTATATTGAAAGAATGACAACTTTCAAGCAGTGTACTTACCATCTCTTCAGTAAGTCTGACCATTCCTTTGCGACTACATGTGTGAGGAATTTGTTTACTTCTTCGTTCCTTGTAGCTGTCACTCAACTCCTAGAAGAGAAGAGCATTAGTAAGTTATTAGTACCACCAGAATATAGAAACCAATATGCTTACCTTAAATGATTGGCTAGTTTTGATTTTAACAAATTTTCGCCAATCAACCGGAGTAACATTTTTAGGACGCAGATTCATCCTTTGTTGGTTGTTGGTAGCTTCCATGATCTCCTTCACGACGCGAGATTTCGATGATCTCCACAAGCATCCCATCTGCTTTAGTACCAGTGTCTTTTGATAAGCTTCGTCCAGCTCAAATCGTGCCTACACGAAATTCGAGTTACTTATTACCAAATAAACTACAGATATAGTAATTACTTGTCAATGAAAAGAAACACTCACCTGGACAGATTTCCAGAGAACTGTCTTCACATCTTGACCGATCTTTGTCCAATGATCAATTGTGATAGGAACTTGTTCTCGTACTAAGGCACCTACATACGACGACAGCTTAACGGACCCAGAACCGTAAGGTTCACCCATGATGGTGAAGTCTACTCGAACTCTGTTATTTGGATCCTTGGCAATGTCTCTCATCCTTGTTGGTCCTCGTTGTCTCTTTCGTTTCGGCTCAGCAACATTGGCATCCTCTCCGGATAATTCAATCTCACCTTCAGGTTCCTCCTCATTCACTCCTTCCTCAGACATTTCATTCCTTACATCCCCTCGGATTTCGTCTTCTAACTGACACTCAGTTTGTGTTTCAATGTTTCCCACAGATCATGCCTCCTCATTCACCATAGGGTTAGCTGTTTTTGGTCTCCTTCCTCTCTTCTTTTTTTGTAGTGCACATCTTAGATCTCCTGAAATATGTCAGTAAAATGAACAAGTCAAAAAAAAGAACAAGTCAAGAAAATCTAACAAATGAGCAACCAAACATCACGCAGAGCACACAAAATCAAGAAAAAAATGATCAAGAAACTATGTTTAACACATATATGCCTTCACAATCAGCCGACTACTTTCTGCTTCTTCCATGTCTACATCCATGACAACACTAGATGGCAATGGTCCAATTTAAGTCCATCATCAGATTCTTTCTTACTGTATCTCCGTGAAGGGCCTCGCATAACAACATGCCAATTTGATGACTCGTCTTCTCTGAGGTAAAACACTTGCTTCGCATGAGAGGCTAATATATATGGATCCTCTGAAAATGAGACTTGACTATGATTCATGTTAACTAGTGTGAAACCCTCTTCTATCTTAACTCCATTACCCTTCACTGCCCATTGACACCGAAATAGAGGTACGTAAAAGACATTATAATCCATCAGTATAATGTCTGTTACTCTGCCATAGTATGATACCAAATCAACCACCTGTGAAGTGTCTTTCGCACTAGACCTACAGACTGCTGTAGCCTCATAGAAAACCCCACCATTCTGACTTTTCCTATCAACTGATCTTGTGTGAAATCGTTGCCCATTCACAATATAACCTGTATACGACCGTGCAGAGTGATGTACTTGCATTTTACATAGTTTTAGCACATCTTTTATGCATCTTTTGCATAGTTTTAGCTTCCATTTGCATCATATCTTGTTCCTTTTCTCTTCTTATGCATTCATGTTAGTTTTAGGTTGCATTTGCATACATATGCATGTTTGGTCCTTTGAAATAGGTCTTTTGGAGCATTCTGGAGCATATGGGACATGAGGAGCATGGAGGGACTTGGCACATGGAAGCAGCTCAACTGGATACGCAAAGGAAGAAGGGAGAAGCCATCTTGAAGACCAGCTCGACCGTCCACTCGACCAACCGGTCGAGTTCCTCAACTCGACCGGCCAAGCTTCAACTCGATCGAGCTGGAAGTCAAAGTCAAACCCGAAAAATGTTGCTTCCCCCTTGACTTCCTTTGACCCTAAACCTAATCCTCTTTGTATTTAAAGGCTCTAAGCCACGAAAAAACCACCAAGCTTTAGATTATTTTTGTTTTAGTTTCTTTTAATTTTATTGTCTTTTACTTTTTAGAGACTAATCCCATCTTTGTGTTCTTGAAGCTCTTGCTTCTTGAATCCTAGATCCTGGATTAATCTTCTTGTATTTGCACTTGCTTATTTCAATAAAAGTTGTTTAATTTCATCTCCTCTTTCTTATGATGTCTCTTTTATTGCATTTGCTTGTGTTTACATTCATGTGTAGTGAGTAGTTACCCATTGGGTTTGAGATGGGATAGATTAGAGGTTTCATATGCTTAATCCTTCTAGCTTATGGTCTTAATCTAGATTCTCTCTCTTTTGGATAGATCTTAAGGCTACATGACCACTACCCCTGGCTTGTAAGTCCTTAGGCGACTCCCCACACGAAAGTGATGGCATTCGCTGGAAAAGATCCACTAAGAGCTCCAATATCTCTTGCTCTAGACAATAGAGGTCTAAGGGGTTGGATGGATTAGTTTGGGCAATGATCCTATAGCCTCCAAGGTTTGATTCTCACTGGCTAACCCCCTGTTTCTGAGATCATTCCTTGGTTGATAGCCTCCACCTTGGGAAAGGGTTGGCTAGGCATTGAGAAGCCCAATATCAAGAGAAGCCTTGATACAAGGAGTTTTAAGAGCTAGATTGATTAAGTGTAGATTCCTTTGATTGCAAAACCCTGTCTTGAACCCTAATTCTCTCTTTATCTTGTTAAAGTCGTCACCTTTAGCTTTTTTGTCTCAACTCGTCCCTAAACTCGATCGAGCTGGTACTCTGTCACTCGACTCGAGTCTTGGTCGAGCTGACTTTTCACTGCTTTGTTTACTTTTATTGCACTGCATTTTCATTTTTAGGTTGTTAGTGTTACTTCAAATCTATAACTGCTTGCTTGACTTTCTGGTTGTTTCATATTCTCATAGAGTGACAAGTTTCCCATTTTGGATTGATAACCTCTTATACTTCAATGACTATGATGGTTAAGAGGGAATTGTTGACTGTGTTTGTGTTTGCATCTTACCACCTTCATATACCACTGTTGCATTCCACTCATCTCATTTCATATCTTTTCACACACACACAAATCCTATCAATTTGGCGCCGTTGCCGATTTGGGAATATTTTTGTTGCATTTGAGTTTCAAACATACTTGGACGATCAAGCTATACCACCCCTGTTCTATTGTACTGCTGGGTTTTTGTCTCTTTTTGCAGGTGTATGCGAACTCGATCGAGTCGGTCTAACTGAAGACTTGGTCGAGCTAGACTTACAACGGGTAGAAAGAGGGTTCAGAGGTCACAGAGGGTACAAGAGGAACCTGAGGTGCTTGTTGCTGATACAATGGATGTACCAGAGGGGAATGGAAACCCTTTGGGCATGGACTCGGTCGAGCTAGGCAAACTCGACCGATTGGTCAAGGAGATGCTCCAAACCGCCACCAACAGAGACAAGGGATTGTTCCACCACCAGTGCAGAACCACAACTTTGAGATCAAGCTGGGAATGATCAACCTTGTCCAGAACAAGATGTTCCATGGATTGCCAAGTGAAGACCCCATTGACCACCTTGATGAGTTTGATAGGCTTTGTGATTTGACAAAGATCAATGGTGTCTCTGAAGATGCCATCAAGCTGAGACTCTTTCCTATGTCTCTAGCTGACAAAGCTCACCAATGGGAGAAGAGCTTGCCCCATGGCACAATCACCACTTGGGATGAATGCAAGAAGGCCTTTCTTGCTAAGTTTTTCTCCACCGGTCGCACAGCCAAGCTTAGAGGAGAGATATCCAGCTTCATCCAGCGAAACAATGAGACATTCGCAGAGGCTTGGGAGAGGTTCAAAGGCTACACAAGTCAGTGCCCACACCATGGATTCAACAATGAATCACTACTCTCCACTCTTTATAGAGGATGCTTGCCTAGGTATAGGGAGATGCTAGACACAGCTAGCAATGGGAACTTCCTCAACCAGGATGTAGATGATGGCTGGCAACTTGTGGAGAACATAGCTAACTCAACTTGCCTATCAGTCGTTACAAACGTAGGAGGAGAATCGATAGGTACCCCCTGGATAATATCAGCTGGCAAGTGGGTACGAAACCTCAATAAGCTCAGAATTCGAATCAACCCCATATTCATCGTTTGCCATTTCAACAAGCTCGCCATGGGTACAACCATCTCTCAATGAGAACAGTCTACCGCCCTTGTCGTCATCCACTACGAAGAACCAAGTCCTCATTCTCCCCTCTCTCCTCTCCCATTTCCCGTAAACAGCCGCTACGTACACCATCTCTGCGAAACAAATAACACAACGTCAATGAACGATTATAAGTACACTTCGATATGAAATCAACATGTAGACTTCATTGTGCAGTCTACTACATTTCACCTAGACTCCACCAAAAACTAAATATTTGATTACCTTCAAAATATAATGATTAAGCAAGTCAAATTGTTACACAGCCAAATAAACAGATAAAAACAACTTACTGTCCAAGAAAATCTTCAAAATTAGTTATTCATGTAGCACAAACACCTAATTTACAAAATTGTAACAAAGTAGACTTCATGTAGAAATCTACATGTGGACTTCAGCAGGAAGTCAACTTAGGGGTATACTTA